GCTGGCAAGAACCAACATGCAAGGATTACTGAAAAGCCTGCAGCGAAGTGCCTAGAATGAATGAGCTCTTCCCCTGTCTGATATGAGGGAATGTGTGCAACTAGGAACATAGTGAAGGAATGTTTACTGTATAACTTGGGGTCACTTGTGGAGTTTAAGTAAGGCACCTCTTACTTCACCTGAAACTTGTTCCCCCACATTTTTGTAACATGTCCTCGTCTTAATATAGGGATGGTTTTATGCCAGGCGCAGCACTATTTCACAACTTTCCCACTGTATGATCAGCCAGATACTTTGTTCTAAGACAATGGTAGAATCTGCTTCATGGTACATGAAACATATATTGCACCTGCTACCAGAGCCCTAGCATTACCTGGATATTATCTGGAGGTAGCTCAATTGCATATTGATTTTGTACAGTTGAGCAACATCCGGTTCAAAGACTAGGAGCCGGCCAAGAACAAATAAACTAAGACTTTAAACAAGGGGGCCAGGCTCCATGCTCAGTCAGTCATGTAATGCTCTGGATTACCGTATTTTTCGCACCATAGGACGCACCGGCCCATAGGACGCACCTAGTTTTTTGGGGGTGAAATAAAGGAAAAAATTTTTATTTCCCCCCCAGGTGCGCTGTGCTAAGCCCGAAGCTTGGGGCGTGCGGAGCTCAGCGCGCCTCAAGCTTCTGGGTGCTGGCAAGCTGGCCGCTCGCCTTGGGAGCGCCCCGCGGCTCTCCCCGGGCTAGCGGAGCGCTGCGCTACTCCCGAAGCTTGGGGCGTGCAGAGCTCAGCACGCCCCAAGCTTCTGGGTGCCGGCAAGGTCTCCTCTAGCCGTGGGAGAGCCGCAGGACTTCGCGCGGCTCTCCCAGGGCTAGCGGAGCGCTGCGCTAATCCTGAAGCTTGGGGCGTGCAGAGCTCAGCGCGCCCCAAGCTTCTGGGTGCCGGCAAGCAGTCCGCTAGCCTTGGGAGAGCCCCGCGGCTCTCCCAGGGCTAGCGGAGCGCTGCGCTAACCCCGACGCTGGGGGCGTGCAGAGCTCAGCGCGCCCCAAGCTTCTGGGTGCCGGCAAGGTCTCCGCTAGCCGTGGGAGAGCCGCGCGACTTCGCGCGGCTCTCCCAGGGCTAGCGGAGCGCTGCGCTAATCCCGAAGCTTGGGGCGTGCAGAGCTCAGCACGCCCCAAGCTTCTGGGTGCCGGCAAGATCTCCTCTAGCCGTGGGAGAGCCGCAGGACTTCGCGCGGCTCTCCCCGGGCTAGCGGAGCGCTGCGCTAACCCTGAAGCTTGGGGTGTGCAGAGCACAGCGCGCCCCACGCTTCTGGGTGCCGGCAAGCAGTCCGCTAGCCTTGGGAGAGCCCCGCGGCTCTCCCTGGGGTAGCGGAGCGCTGCGCTAATCCCGACGCTTGGGGCGTGCTGCGCTCAGCCCGCCCCAAGCTTCTGGGTGCCGGCAAGGTCTCCGCTTGCGGTGGGCGAGGTGGGTCTCCCTTGGCTAGCGTATAGGTTCCTGAAGCCTGGAGAGCGAGAGGGGTCGGTGCGCACCGCCCCCCTCGCTCTCCAGGCTTCAGCGAAAGCCTGCATTCGCTCCATAGGACGCACACACATTTCCCCTTCATTTTTGGAGGGGAAAAAGTGCGTCCTATGGAGCGAAAAATACGGTACCTTTTGTCTATCACCGCCTCTCATGGTCAGTTCTCTCTCTCTGTAAAAGAGAAAAAAATCACTGACCCACCTTGGGGTTATGAGAATAAATAGGAATTGTACAGTACTTAATATATTTCCCATGCAAAAAAATTATATAGAAATTATTGCTGCAATAAAATATTAATTTCATAATGGTAGGATAAATTAAGATCTAGATGCTTGGGCAGAGACATATTTTTGGGGATATTTTGCTCATCAAAACCTTTTATCAGGAAAACCTCCAAGCCATTATTGCTTTAATGATATGGGAAATACAAACGTTTTCAAAATAAATGGGGGGATATCATCAACAAACCAATCTGAAAAATTGTGCAAATGCATGAGTTACACAGAACTCTTTATTTGGTTAAGCAAACAGGTCTGCATTTCCTACAAGCATTTTCAGAGGTAGCCTAACTTTGTCATTTGTGGATCCATACATGGCTGATGTTGTGGGTGTTGTTTTTTTTTTGGTTTTTTTTTTTGAGAGGTTTGGCTGCAGCCTATGACCTAGCATAGGTAGAATTTGCATTTGATCCGGGTAATTTGCCCCTGTTGGCACTGGTTGTCTGTCCTTCAGCTGGCGTGCCTGTGTTGCTGCATATTTTCTTCTCATAGTGAACACAGACTGTATCAGTTGGCTCCTTCAGGACTATAACATTGTAGTCACTGGTTATGCTTCAGCATAATTTGTCACCAGCCCTTTTGATCAGATCCCACGTGAGAGATCAGCACCCAGTATTTCTTCTGTCCTCTTTTACTTCCTATTCCTCAACAGTGGAGCATGCTGCTAAAGTCAGGAAGGCAAAGGATGTGAGGTGGAGGAAGTTAATGAATAAACCTGTGATCTCTGCCACTTAACTGTTTCATAGGCTGGGCTTTCAGTGTTCACTTAGAAACCTCCCCTGCTTTACTTTGCCTGCGTGCCAGATTGTTAAGACCAAAGGAAGGAGATTTTCTCTTTGGTGGAAAACATGTTGCTTAAGAATCCATCTTTGCTCACCACACTTTTCTACTGGCTGAGTTTGCAGCTCTAGCTTTGTTTCTGGCTGAAGACCATTACTCTGCATTTGTTTATAATGTTATATATAATACATTCATATAGAAGATCTGCTTGCTGGAGGAGAAAGTAAGTTGTATCATAAACTGAATGAAAACCTAGAGACAGCTGCTTGGAACACAAACTAGTCTAGGTTGCCATGTGGCCTAAATCCTACTACACCAAAAACCCTCTACAGTACTTTTTTATTTACATAGAGTTGCATCCAATAATAGCCATACATAAAGTACATCCAGTGAGATTAATGGACTTGACAAAATTAGATCCACCAATCTCAATAAGTCTAGTCTGAATAAAACTTACTTGGAAGCAACCCAATAGTTATATCATCATTTGCACAAGTCATTTACATTTTACATTTACATTTAAATTATATAAATCCCATAAAATTTACATCCTTCAAAACTCATAACAAATCACTGAAGAACAGTTACTAATAGCATTAGCAGTCAGGCCTTCTGTTCCAAACCCCTGCTTAGAGAATTGCCTTCACTAGCTACCTTAAAGTATAAAAGATGGGTCAGTAGGGAGGAAGTTCCCCCCTTTTTAAGCTGCAACTTAAAAAGCTGCTTCCCAGGCCCCCACACTACTTACTTTATACTGTACTGAGGAGGAACCACCAGGAGGGCCTCATCTGTTGATCTTGGAGCTTACCTACCTACCTACCTACCTACCTACACAGAATGCCTGTTTAGAGATGGTGCCTCTTAAGGGACCCAGCTGTGCCCCCCTAACTTTTACTGTATAATGCGTGTTCACAACTGCCTTTTAAGCAATAGTTGCTTCTTGCCCGCCACATTAACTTAAGCAGTAATTTTCTATACTGGGGGAAAAAAATTATATGTCTAGCCTACCTTACCCTTTGGACTCTGAGAACTGCAGCAGTGTCACCCAAAGCTATTGATAAGGCACTGCACCCTTCACAAATCATTCATGAACAAATGTGAAAAACTTGGTAAATAACTTTCTGAAAAAAGTTAGGGAGTCAAGCAAATTGTCTATTGTGCATCACTTCCAGTTCCAAGCAAGCCTGTGTGACGTATTACGGAGTTATTAATCACTAAAAAGGTCAAAGCAAAGCAGTGTCAATCGCCAGAGTTCATCATATGTCAAGTACTTCTTAGTAAGAGCTTGAGTTACATCCGTGCCATACATTTAAAGCAAATGGCTTCTCTCTCCCCCGCCCCCCCCCCCCAAAATCCTGGGAGCTGTAGTGGACGCCTTACAGAGCCACAGTTCCCAGCACCCTTAAGAAAAACAGTTCCCAGGATTCTTTGGGAGTGGTGGTGAGTATGCATGCTTCAAATGTATGGGGTTGTGACCATGGTCTCAACAGATGTTGGCTGTTTTTACTGCTAAGACAGCTGTTCCTCTTTGATTTACCTCTGACTGAAAAGGGAAGAAAAGCAACTATCCAATAATGAGGACTTGTGTTGAATATGTGGGATATTGTATTTGAAAAGGGCACTCCATCTGACTACAGTATCTTATGCCCAGGAAGACAGAAATAGTTGCAGTTTATTCCAGAATTCTTATCTTTCAGGGATCCTAGAAGGAAACAGTGCATAAACTGCCATAGAGGTGTGTCCAGCTGTAGCTGCAGCAGAAACCTAACAATGTGAACAAACACTCACTGGGAACTAAGTTTCATCCTTTTTAGAGACAATATTAAGCATTTGTTTAAAAAATAAGGGAAAAGGGCAGTGGAGTGGGAAAATGTGCCTGCATCAACAAAACTGCATACAGGACAGGCAACTCCATTCCCCTCTTTCTCTGGACTGTTGACCTTTGCAATTGAGAATTCCTCCTTTGGTAATTCACAGAGTGGGGTGTGCGTGTGAGAGAGAGCATGAGCGCAAGAAAACATGATTTGATAATCATTTCACGAGGAAAGTTTTTGTCATTCAGAGCCACACCTTCTCTGATAGAGCTTGAATCATAAACTGTGTACACATAGTCACACATTCAAAGAGCAACAGTATTAGAACAACTGCAGCTCCTTGCCCTCTTCTCTGAGGTATGTATTCTGCGCCTTGGGAATCCTTGCTGCATATCGTGTTCCTTAAAAACAAGTCCTCTTTCTAGGCTGTGCTCCAGTTACGTACCCTGAGGGAACTGAGGGGTTCACAGATGACCTTAGAGTCCTTCTAAATAACTTGGAGCCCCTTTAGGCTTAGGTTATGTTCAAGTGTCGTTAATATGAGGATGGCAGTAATCGTGTTAGCCTGGTTGTTTGAAAGGTATGTTGTGTACTGAGATGACCTCTTGTGGGGAAGGACTGTGGCTCAGTGGTAGAGCATCTGCTTTGCATGCAGAAGGTCTCAGGTTCATTCTCTGGCATCTCCAAGTAGGGCTGTGCATGTCTCCCATCTGAACCCCCAGAGAGCCTCTGCCAGTCAGTGTAGACAATCTGATAGTTGATCAACTGATAGCTGGACTCTGTATATGACTGTTTCCTATGTTTGTCTTACAGACAAACACATTGACACCAACATGTAAAAATGCCTGTGTACAGTGGTACCTTGGGTTACAGACACTTCAGGTTACAGACTCTGCTAACCCAGAAATAGTACCTCGGGTTAAGAACTTTGCTTCAGGATGAGAACAGAAATCGCATGGCGGCAGCGCAGTGGCAGCAGGAGGCCCCATTAGCTAAAGTGGTACCTCAGGTTAATAACAGTTTCAGGTTAAGAACGGACCTCCGGAATGAATTAAGTTCTTAACCTGAGGTACCACTGTATTTCTGAATTTTTCCTTCACAAGCATGCAGCGTGTAGTTTATACAGGCAGTACTCCTTACTCCCGAAGGGAGCGTTTTACCCTGGAGGCACTCTTTTAGAAATCTAATTAAAACAACGCCTACAACATCTTTGTCTTGAAAGACATGCAGGGTGCTCAGACGTTACTTCACCACTCTTCGCTATACATGGCAAGATTTTATATGTGGGCTGAAGCCTTGAGTTGGTGTATACTTTAAAGAAGAATTTAATAACCTGTGACAACTTCATCAGATGAGCTGGTATATTTATTCACCAATGTGTTATTCACCTAGAAATGAATCCGTAGGTTGCAGGGTCCTCCAACCATCAACTTACTTGTTTATTGAAATCTCTTTTTGAGAGAGCCAAGGGAGATAAATAAAGCAAGCAAAAGCAGATACCCCATTGCAAAATCTCCTTGTCTGAGGAGTATGCAGTACAGAGACATGGGTATGCAGTGTTGAGGCACTCTCCTGATCTGGCCACGTAGGTGTGTGTATGCTGAGTATCATCTTCATAATTGGGTGAACAGTAACCTAAGAGGGCAATAATGTTTTTCTTCCAACTCTGAACATCTAAAGATTGCTTTATGCACAACATATTTCGTTAATAGGTGCTATTTCTGCATAGGAAATTGCACATAGACCTTAACAAGTGATGAACATGAAGACTTTCCATCTGCTATGTACAGCAAAATACGTGTATGCCGACATCACATGCAGTTTCGTGCCCATAGTTTCCTTTATGGCTGTGATAGCAACATAAGAGGGAGTTCATAATCAAAATGGCCAGAAATTTGAGTTCATATGGGGACTTCCGAGCAGTTTCTGAAGCCAGCCAGAGTCAACTGCTCTGGGCTGCTGAGACTGCCGCTGCTGCGTTTCCCGGGGACATTAGATGAAATCCGGGGACATTCCGGGGATGGAATTTGTCTGGGGACTTATTTGCAAATCCTGGGACTGTCCCCGGGAAGCATAACCCTGGTAACCCTAAGAGTCCCCTAATTGTTCCCTAGGACTTCCTTCTCAAAGCCTGGGAAGCTTCTGCTCGGCTTAGGAAGGAAGGTGCAATGCTCCAATGGGTCCAAGAACCCTCCTTCCACCTTCCCAAAGCCCAGGAAGCTTTGGGAAGGAGGCAGGAGGGTACCAGTATCCTGTCAGGGGCCTGCTGCCTTCTTCCGAAAGCCTGGGAAGCTTAGGGAGGGAGGCGATACTCACAGGCATGATGTGGCTCCCCACCCCCATCGCCCTCGCCAGCTGGCACCTCTGATCCTACAAAAAAATTCACCACATGCCATTGATAGTTAGGCAGACATTGCCCTAGAAACACAGCTGGAAAATGAGCTTTGTATGACTCAAAAGCTTACTTCTCTTTTGAAACCTTAACTGGTCTATTGATAACGTATTGTCTGGTTTGCCTTCAACCTTTCCTGTGCTCCATTTCTCTTTGAGAGTAGCCTGACTTGGCAAATGTCATCCATTGTTCTTTTCCTTGAAGCGTCTTTTTACAGCAACTCTGGCTGGGATACACCGCAAGTTGCTGTAGCTTGTTATGCTGCAGACAAAACCTCTCATCTGTTGCAGTTTCGCTTCTTGCACTTTTCTTCCTCCCTTACTAAGCAAGGACAGGCTGTGCTAGCTTAAGTATCCAGATTTCTCCCTGCCCCACTTTGCCTTCCTTTTTTGAAGGTGCATTTTTATCTGGGAGAGGCTTTTCCTCCCCTTCAGGAATTTGCGATCTGACTCAGCATGTTGAAAGCTATTTGCAGGAGGCAAAATTGCGTTTACCTGGCAGGGAACCGATCTCGTGTTAACTCTTTGCACCTGGGAAGCAAGTTTGTGGACCGACAGAGTCCTTTCTTAGATGTCTTTGGATTTTGAGGAAGAAAAATCTTTCCCGAGATCTCTGCTTTGCACAAGGCAGTGCTTGTGGCCACGTTTTGAATGAGTTCATGACACAGAACTAGTAATTAGTCTGCTTCAGACTTTGGTGGGTTTGTCTCAGAGAGAGGCCTGCTTAGGTTCCTCTTTAGCAAAGCTGCAGGGGCTGAGGAGTCATTACTATCTGGCTTTTCTTTGGATCTTCAGGGTGCTTTCTTGTTGCTATCACCTGCTGTAGTGTCTTGGTCTGTTTACTTTTTTGTAAAGGTAAGGAAGGTTTTATTAATTGTGTTGGTGCTGTGCTGGAAAGAACAGCAGGTTTCTAGAGACTTAGTTTCTGACAGTATAGTGAAGCTTGTTGAAGGGCTTCATTCAGGATAGCGATGCCTGTTGACTTGGCTGGGAGGAGTGAAAGAAAGCGTGTAGGCCCAGAGGAATGTTTTTCAGTCTGAGGGCTGCATTCCCTTCTAGGAGACTTTCTGGGGGCTGCTGTGGTGGGCAGGGCTGCAGGCAAGACAGAGCAATAGAAGGCTTTGTTCTAGCCATGCAAAAAATCAGAGGTTTCTGCGTACACACACACACCCCTGTCCAAATCACACATGCATGTACCTTTCACTCCTTGAGAGCAAGATGCATTATCACCATTCAAGTACACATTCTAGCCAGCAAAAGCACCAGAGAAGGGCTTGGAACAGGGCCGGTGAGGTGTGTGGCTTGGAATTGGGACATGGCCAGGTTAGTCCTGAGAGTCAGATAAAGAGGCCTGGGGGGCTTCGTTTGGCCCCCAGGCATGAGGTTCTCTACCCCTAATATAGACAAAACCCTCCTTTTCTAATTCTCCTCTTGTATGTCTTCTGTGCAGACGCATTGTTAGCAGACCTGGAATCCACTACCTCTCACATCTCCAAGCGACCAGTCTTCCTGTCAGAGGAAACATCTTACTCGTATCCAACTGGAAATCATACATACCAGGAAATCACTATACCTCCTCCGGTGCCACCCCCTCCTTCTAATGAGGCCTTGAATGGGACTGTAAGTGAACCTTTAGACCAGTGGCAGCTCAGCATCCCCAGAAATATTCACCAGCAGGTAATTTTGCTTGTCTGTCTTAGTTATGCTCATGGAACTGAGGGAGCCAGTTGTTGGTGTGTTGTGGAGCAACTTACTGTCTGTTAAAATATTTGTATCCCATATTTCCGCTCAGAGCTGGTTTATGGCCATATTAATAAAAGCATTTGCTCTAATAACATAACATGAAAACTTTACTGCCAAGAACTGAAAATAAATAGCTAGTGATTGTTTAATGCTTCTAATTGGGATTGGACGCTTCCTCGTTTAATTGGAAGAAACCTCTTCTGGCTTCACATTGTGCTTGTTACCAGCTCACTTAAATGCTTACATGGAAACTGACTCTCCCCTCCCCACATAGCTCTGAGTAAACATGGCAGTACTCAGCTTTAGCTGGCAGCATAATGTGAAGATTGCTCAATTTTTCTTTCGGTCTGTAAAGCTAGACCTGAAGGTTCACGCCCTGAAAACACTACTCACAGTCTCCTCACCAGTGCCCTGTCTGAAGCCACAGTGGAATGATGCAGATCTTAATCAGTCACCTTGGGGCTTTTGAAAAAGAGATTGTAGTTTTGTAGATCACAGGTATATGAGCCATAGATCAGATTGGAGGAAGCATGAAATGTGTTTCTGGAGGGGGGTGAAGGCTAGCTCTAGGGAGAACAATTTGTTACCAGGTTGCATCCTGTTTGTTCCACATTCCAAGATCCCAGTCATGCATTGCATGTAAGTAGAGAGTGAGCTCTCAAAACTGTTTGGGCCTGTGCAAATGCAGAAGTGGCAACTTTTTGTAAAATGGGGGAGTGCGGGGAGAGTAGTTTTCTTGCATGATCTGATTTTTGTGTAGATCAGTTCTGGAGGAAAGTCACTATTCTAACAGCTGTAGAAGTTGGGTTGTGAGCCTGAGTGAGCAGCTGGCTCAAGGCCATCCAATTTGTCTATATTCCTGAGGAAATAAGTGAACTGTAACTATTGCTACTTTATAAAATAAAAGGTGCTAGGGTTTGATCTGGAAGCCTGTGTGTTAGGGGTAAACCGTGATTTGCTTCCTTGTTACTTTGCATGTTCCAAAGGCTGAATTCACAATGGGTTCTTGGGGTTAAGCTGCAGCTCAGACTAATCTCCAAACCCTGATCTCCCAAATGCTAAGACCAGCAGATTTCACTGAACCACATTGCTTTGCATGCATGTTGTTGTTTTGTTTGTTTACAGCAAGGCTGGGGAACCTTTGGCCTCCAGACATTGTTGGACTACAGCTCCCATCATCCCTCACCCATTGCCTACGCTGGTGGGAGCTGATGAGAATTGATGTCCAACAACATCTGTAGGGCTAAATGTTCCCCAGCCTTGCTTTAGTAGTACAACTAAAGAATAAAGTGTGCATTACATGGAACTCCATGTATCTCTCTCCTGATGGTTGAAGGAAAAGCAACATCTGGGGGCTGCATTTGGGAGCTGAAAAAGGGGCTGCTTATTCCTTTCCAGCTTATTCTGCTTTGTCATCCCCCCCTTGCCCGCCCCTAGACGGCCTCTCCTCAAGCTGCTTTTCTTGGGGGTGGGAAGAGCACATGGGAGAAGAATATTCTGAAAGAGGCAGCAACCAACAGGGAAAGGCTTAAGGGCCTACTTGCCATTCCTT